CGGCCCACCTGCTTGGGGATGTTCCCTTGTCACCCCCCACTTACCATTCTGAGTGAAGTGTGGCTGGCCCCGCGGCCTGGCCTTACACCCTCGCCTCTGAAATGCGTGGCTTGTTTTCCAAACTCAGCACTGTGTTTATTGTTTTACAAGAGCTAAGGAAAAGCTGATTCATTGTTCCTCCGGAGGAATTCCTGAAGGCCAGACAGTTCATGAAAAACTCTTTGGCTTCAGTAAAACTAGTTATATCAAATAACTTCAGCTGGGAGCTTGTTAACAAAGGGGCTTCCCAGACCCTCCCTGGACCTGCAGAGACGGAAACCTGGGCCGGGGCCTGGCAGTCCGGCTTTTTCACGGGCTGCCCAGGTGACTCATTTGCATCCTAAAGTTTGGGAGTCACTGAGAGGGGGACACCCACTCATTATCAGTATGGAGTTGGGCGGGGTGTTAGGGTGTCACCTGAGTCACTCAGGCCCGATGGGCCTGGCCTTTGATTGGACGCAGGCAGCTGTGCTCACCTGGCAGCTCCTGTGTTTCATTTGGAAATGACAAATTAGAAAACATGCAATTAAGCTTTTCACGAGGCAGTTAATCAGTTCACCCCCTCTTGTGCCTCAGAGTGAGTCTTTGTGTCCCTGGGTAATCAAGAGCGTCACCAAGACTCCCCATGCCGTGTGGGCTGAAGGATGACAGAGCAGAAGCCCTCAGAGAAGTTGCCTGTCAAGCTGGGAAACAGAACAGGCTGAGTGAGCCCGGCAGCCTCGCCCTGGCTGGGCTGGAGCCCTCAGACAGGCTGAAGAGAAGCCCCGTATATCTGCAGGTGTTTCTGTAGTGGTTTCCAAAGGTCAGCCCGACCCAGGGTTTGGATCTGGCTGGCTTATTAAAAATACACATTCCTGGGCCCTGGCCCAGAGGCACTGATGGAGCATCTTGGAGGCGGAGCCCTGCAATCTGTATTCATAGCCCCCTGGAAAGACAGCGGAGAATTTTAAAAGTTAACTGTAATCGTACTACTCAGAAGTAACCACAGTTAATTTTTCGGGGGTTTTCCCTCCTGTGGATTGTTAACATAGTTGAGGACACAGTGTGTGTATCATTTTGTATCTGATGTTTAAGCTGCTAGAGGAGGACCTTTGTGACATTGGCCCAGCGAATGGGCACGGTCTGTAGCTGCCCTGTCTGGTGCGAGGGGCAGAGGAGACCCTTTGTGCCCACAGTTCCACCAACACAGGGGATCAGCATCCACTTTGCCCAGCCTGGGAAGTGGCCCAGGCCTGCCCTCGACCACAGACGAGGTTCATTCTGGACACCAGCCAAGGTGGATGGGCGCTTCCACAGACACAGACCTGTGTCAGAAGGGCCCCCCATCTTCATGTTAGAGCGCACAGAAGCTCCTTGTGTTTATGCCTCAGGAAACTGTGACTCTAGATCATTCTTGTAGGTTTCTGAAGTTTTTAAAAAATTTTAAATTTTATTATTTTTTACACCACCATTTATCCCCCATATACCCCCTTCCACCACCTCTCCCCCATTCTGCAGGTTTTAATGAGTTTCTGTATTGTCCTTCCAACATGAACAGATCACATTTCCATCTGATCTTTAAAGGAGTCACCATTACCTTTGTTAAGTCACTTGAAGTGATGTCAAGAATATACATCATGATGGAGTGAAATCACTAGGAGGATGGGATTGTGGGAGAATCCTAGTTAAAATAAAGCTGTAGCCATCTTCATAATGTGCCGTGTATATACAGATGTGTGTACTTAAATTCCCGAACCTGTGTATTTAAGAATCTAAAACTGAGAACTTGCTTGTGTTAACCTTTACTGACATTTGCTAAGGGATGGGATTTATGGTGATATTAGAGTTCAGAAGTCTATCACTTGGAGCAAGAGAAATCTGTACAAGTCCTGCAATGAACTCTCAGGAAAGCACAGGCTATATTCCTGTTAGCAGAGTCCACTCTCAGAGGTGGGTGGAATCACTCCTGAAAGACTTCAGCATTTGTCCATAGAGAGTGTGACTCATCTTTACTGAACTAGTCATCCCATGGGACTCAGGGGCCACCTCCCATTCTAATACCTCCATGGAAACTTGTTTTCTTTACTAAGACACTTCATCTCACAAAAAGGGGCCCCCACCTAGGTCAAGGCTGGGGAAGGCTGGGGAATGCTGGGCTCGATCTAATGATACACTAGGGACTTTAGCGTAGGGGCTCTTAAGTCTCTGATTCTCCATGAGCCTTTCATGAGCTGCTTCACCTCTCTCGTTTCTTATTAATGTTCTTCAGGAGTCTGCCTCTGCCCTTCTTTTTTCAGTCTATTCTTTCTCCTAAATGATCTTGCCCACTCCAGGGTTCCAACTACCTATAAAACGGTGGCTTCTGAATTTATATCTCTAGCCCAGCTTTCTCTTGACTTCCAGACCCACTTATCCATAGACCACTCCACATTTCGACCTTAAAGTTGTCACATACTCAAGTTCAGCATGTCCTCTGAACTTATTCTTCTTGCTGTGTCTCTTACCTCAGTCAATAGCACCGTGATTCTACCAGGTAGAAACCTAGGAGTCATTACTCCCTCACTCCATCCTTATGCTATCCACTAAATTCTGTTTAATTCACTAATTTGGTCATTCAGTGAATAAATCTGAAGCCCCTAGTATGTGCCAGGCACTGTGGTAGGTAACTAATGGTGAACAAAAAAAGACAGGGTGCCCTGCCCGGGTAGCTCCATTGGTTAGAGAGTCATCCCAATACACCGACTTTGTAGAGTTTGATCCCTGGTCAGGGCACATACAAGAATCAACCAATGAATCCATAAATAGGTAGAACAACAAATCTATCTCCCCCCCCCCACACACACACACACATACAGACACACTTCCTCTCTCTCAAATCAACTTTAAAAAAAATTTTTTAAAAAGACAAGGAAACAGTTGGGGAAACAGACAAATGATGGTATGGAAGAAACATGCAAAGTTATATGGGGAAGGGAAATTTAAGAGGAGATCAAAGAATTCCTTGGGAGTTAACTAGATCAAAGTCATGGTGTGGGAGTTCAACTTCTAAACAGACAGGTCTGAGTGCCCACAAGTCCTAAATGAGATGGACTGAGTGAGACTTCAAGGAAGGTCATTGTGGTTCAGGCATTATGACGGGAGGGGAGACTGGAGGGGTAGGTTAGGGGCCCTATCGTTCAGCACCTTGTAAGGATTTTGGCCCTTCTAAAAGAACAGAAGAGGCATTGAAAACTTTTTTGGGGGTGGAGTTAAGGAATCACAGATTTATATATGAAAGTCACTCTAGCTGCCACATGGAGAATGGACTGGATGGGACCTGAGTGGATGTGGGGAAGGTGATCCCATTGGCTTCCTTCTTGCCATCCCTATAGCTGGGACCCCCATTCTAGACTTTGGCTATCTCTTGCCTTCCAGCGGAAGACACCTCTACTGTTGTCCCCTGACAATGTACCTTCAGTATGGCTGTCAGACTTACCTTTCAACTTCTCTCAACAACAAAGAAAATCACCGATTCTTCATTGTGCTCAAAATAAAGTCCAAACTCTTTGGCTGGCCCACAAGTCCCTTCAGACTTGGCTCTCGTCTCCTTCTCTAGTGTCACATCCAACTACTTGTCCTCAAGTACTCGGTGTCTTAGTCCATAAAAGGGGATTTGAGAGCTGGATAGCAGTTTGAGGGGAAGGGCCCAAGCACTCGAGCCAAGGCTGAGGCTGAGTCTGAGGTCCAGCGTGTTGATCCAGTTGGGAGCACAGGAAACCTGCCTAAGTAGGGGTTTCAGGCAGTTGGCTTCAAGCAACATCAGGCAGTTGGCTACAAGACTGTCAAGCACTCAGAAATAAGACATCTGGAGGCTTGGACACAAGAACAGAGGTGTAGTTGCTGGGCAGTGGTGACCAAGGACAGGGCCCTGAGCATTGAGAGATGGGTACTTAAGAGCAGGACCCTGGCTACTGGAGAACTGATGTCCTAGGAGAGCCAGGACACCAGCTCTTAAAGAAAGGGTAGGACTCAGCCCTGGCCAGTGTGGCTCAACTGGTTGGAGCTTTGTCCTGTCCCTTACACTGAGGGGCTGCAGGTTCAGTTCCTGGTCAGGGCACATACCCAGGTTGTGTGTTCTATCCCTGGTTGGGTTGCATACAGGAGGCAACCGATTCATGTTTCTCTTTCACATAAGTGTTTTTTTCTTTCTCTCTCCCTTTCCCTCTCTCTCTAAAATCAATAAAAGTTGAGGATTAAAAAGAAAGGGCAGGACTCAGAGACTTGGGGCTCAAAGGGTCAAGGGCAAAGACTAAACGGAGGATGACTTTGTAAGGGGAACCATGGGAAAGCTCTTTATCATCTATATATGAAGAGACCAGGAGCCAGAATGAATCCCAGAGCGTAAGGGGCAAGGCTCAGTGTCAGGTCAAGGCTAGAGCCCTCGAAGAACACAGAGAACGCTGCCAGGCAGCTCCTTCCATCGCCCACACTGACATCTTCCCGGCCTTGGCCAGTCCCCAGGGCACACACACACACACACACACGTCAAGAACATCAAAGCTTAGCCCCGTGAACCCCCAAAGAGCTGTGAGCGC